AAGCTCGCTGTGTGGGGAGAGGAAAGATAATGAATGGAACGATTTGGTTTTTTTTTGGGGGGGGGGGGTTTGGTGGTTCCCCCCCCACCTCCCCACCCCTTCCAGTCTAGCCTTAGAGTACTCTTTGCATGGTCATGTAATTACTGGAAGATCATAAAGGGCCCTCTGTAGACCTTTATTGCTCTATGGGTGGGAAAGATGCATGATGTCGGCATTTTCAAGCATACGACCCTATCAAATGAGTAGCAGTATTCTCCTTCCTCCCCGCCCCCCCCCCCCCCCCCTCAGTTGCAACTATTTTGGAATCATTCTTAATATCCATAGTTTGGGGCTTGGTCTAGCTGCTATTCTCTTGGTTTATGAAGTCATACAGTGGCAGTCAGTACAGCAGTGAGGAGAGACTTAAAATGCTGTAAAAAGCTCATCTTTAATAAGAGTTCCAGAGGTGATCTAGGGAATTTACAGACTGGACTAGTAGTCTGTCTTCTGTCCATGACATAGCTAGGATCTGTAAGGAGAAAAAAAAAAAAAAATGGAGTTAGCAGTAGTATGGATAAATGATATGCTGGGAAAGAGTCAGCATAGTTTTTATAAAGGGAAGTCATGTGTTGCCAGTCTGCTGCAGCCCTTTGAGGATGTCATCTGTTCTGGACTCTGTGGCAGTCAACATATTCATGAGTGATCTGGAAAAAGAATTAATTTAACAACTTTGCTATTTTATTTGTTTGGCTAGTCAAACCCAGAGCTGATTATGAAGATGTCTCAAAACTGAGGATGGGCAACAGAGGGTAAATAACCCTAAATGTATTAACTGAGTGATGGATTCTTAGTTGGCTTTTACTACTTAGATCTTGGCTCATTTGGTGGAGTTAAACATCAGCTTAGTGTGACAGCAATCAAAAAGGAAAAATAACATTAAGGAATCACTAAAAAAAACAGTATTAGAAATTAAATAAAGTAGAATGCTGATTTATATAAACATAAGGCAATCTAAAACTCAGCTGAGGTGTGGCACAATTATTTTAAGGGTGTTGCACACTATTATTGCTGTTGGGTGTACACAAATCACAAGGTTAAAGCCATGTATTTCAAATAGGCATCTGAGGTGTCAAAATATACTGACTCTTTGCAATGGAAGAACTGCCCTGCTGTTTTCTCTAGTGAGGAAATGAGTGAAATCTAAGAACTGATCTGAGATGTGCTTGCATCTTGAGTGCTGCATGCAGCTCTTGTTCTACATTTCAAAGATTATCTAAAACTAGAAAAGGTAGAGAGAAGAATAAAAAAGATAACTCAGGGTATGGAACAGCTTCTGTAAGAAACTAAAAAAGCTTTAGCTTGAAAAAAGATGATTGAAGGAGTTTATTAGAGATTCCTGAATCTATGAATGGTGTGAAGAAAGTGAAGAGGGACCTGCTATTTTACTCTGCCTCAATACATATATTGGAGGGCACCTGATTTCATTTAATCAGCCAGCCAATTGAAAACAAAAGTTTGTCTGGGACATGTGGGACTAATTGCCACAGGATGTTGTGGCAACAATAGTATACTAAAATTTAAAAAGAGACTAGACAAATTTATGGAAGGCAGTATCTAATCCAGCAGCAAGCAAAGCCTGCCCCGTGGGCTAGATTTGGCCCACGGCAGACTCCATTTCCCAGCAGCCCCTGCCCACATCTCTGCAGGCAGTTTCAATGGAGACCCCAGCAGCGGCAGCGCTGTGACAGCGAGGGGTCAGGGAGACTGAGGACATGGAGACTGGCCCCAGCAGTGCTGGCAGGGCAAGGAACTTGTCCAGGGCTGCCATCTTGTGGCAGTGCCATCATGGTCCAGAGCCAGGGCAGAGCCACAATCCTGACTGCTGTCACCACTGCAAGGTCCCAGTCTCTGCTACCGAGCAGCTCCCCACCCTGCTGCGTGCCTTGCCAGCACTCCTAGGATAGTGGAGGGTGGCAGATTGGTGGTTATATTTGAGGTGAACACCTAGAAGCTAATATAATAACCTGAGCTAGGTAGTAAAGCTCAGAGATGGTCCTTGCCCAAGGTGACATCACTTTAAGACTTCTCGAGGGCACTTGGTACTTGTTAATGAGCCTTAATGTATGATCATTCAAGTTTTTAAGTGTTTTTAACTTGGTGCAAGTGTGAGGTGTTATCTCGCCCTGTATGGAAATGCAGTGTTTTCTGGCTTATGCTATTCCGAAGTTGAGGCACTTCATTGCAGTGCAGAAAATTGTTTATTTGGAAGATAGTACCGTGGCTTTTGTGGAGGGGTGGTTTTCTAGAAACCAGAGTTCACTAAGAACCCCATGGTTATATACATCAGCCAAGGAGTGGGATAGTGGCAGAAGAGGGAAGACATTTTGCTATGGCTCTTAAGGCATGAGTTTGAACCTTGTTCCATACTTGTTGACCCAGCTGTAAATGAATACCTGGTTCTTCAGCTATGGCAGGGGTGGGCAGTTACATGGGTTGGAAGGCTACTTGAGAAGTTTCAGTGAGCTGTTGTGGACCAAGGGGATGGGGTGCTGGCCTGGTGGGGGGTGGCAATTGATCCTATCCAGCCCCAGGTCCATTCAACCCACATTCACCACTGGGAGCACGGGACAGAGCATGTGGACAGGGTTTCCATGGAGACCAGCCCTGGACCCGTGCAGGCAGGGCATGTTCAGCTCAGCAGTTGGGACAGGGCTCCAAGTGGGCACGAAATGGTGTCCAGGAATGGGACAAGCAATGGAGGCTGGGGCCAGAATTGCAGGGTGGTAAGTATAGCTGGGACCCAATGCAGAGCCACTGTCTGCTCCCCTCATCCCTACCTGCAGAACTGGTTCTGTGGGCAGGTATGTGCAGGGGGAGGATTGCAGCTCTGCTCTTGACCCTGGCCCTGCACTGTCACCACCCTGTGATCCTAGCTACCTGTCCTGCTTCTGGATGCTGCTTTTCAGCTGCCTGACCCAAGCACATCCTGCCTGTGCAGGTCCTGGGCCAGTATCTATGGAGGCCTTGCCCATTCCTTCTGGTGTCCCTGGCGATGGGTGTACGGTGGACTGGCAGTGGCAGCTAGGCAGTGCAAGCCACTGCCACGGGGGCTGCCAGGAAGCAGAGTCCAGCTACCATGCTGCCTCTGCCCTGCTGTGTGGCCAGGGTGGTGGGAATGGCTACCCACTGCTCCTGGGCTGGGCAGGGCCAAGGGACCCATGGTGGGCCAGATAGACTCCCTTAACGGACCAGATCCAGCCTGTGGGCCATGTTTTGCCCACCCCTGAGCTAGGGGATAAAAGGCAGCCAGAAACGATACTTGTCCTGTCATTCCCTTATGCATCGTTGGCTACAGAAACTAGCCTGCTTTAGCTACCTGATGAACTTCTAGGGCAGCAGTTCCCAATATGTGGTATACATACCACGAGTGGTATGCAGACAACCTGTACACATTAACAGATTTATTATAATTACTTTTATATGACAAACTTGCTGGTGATACTTTGTTAAAACTGAAAAATTTACTGGTGGTACTTAAGGTTATATCATTTTAAATCGGTGGTGCACAATCTGTCAGCGTTTGGAAACTACTGATTTAGAGCAAGTGTTTAGGCACGTCATTTAGTCTTTTTATTTATTTATTTATTTTAATGAATTTTCTAGTTAGCATAAAGAAGATATCAGACATCTTTTTAAAGTACAAGCCACATCTTTTCCTTCATTTCTGATCCCTCTAGATTGCTTTAGTAATTCAAAGATGAATCCTAGTTATGTCTGGCCAAATACAGTTTTTCTGCTATGAGTGTTTGGAGTTGATGGAAAAATCCAGTATAGGGGAAGGAGGGAGCCTTCTTAACTTAAGAGGAACACAAAGCTTTTTTTTCCCGTAGCCATTATTAGCGATGTTTCTGAAAGCCTTTTGGCAATGTTGCTATCTGGCATAAGTTAGACTTTTTTTCCTGTGCTGTTCAGAATTAGAGTTGAGGCCAGTCTAGGCAGGATTGGCAACTAACAAATCCCTTCAGGGTTCCGTTTGCTGTACTAAGTTGGTCTTGGATGCAACAGGGAATCTTTTGATGTATCTCTAACTTGCATTTGAAGAATAGCTGTATTTCAGTAAGTTACCGTATTCTAAGGCCAGGTCCATAATAGAATTGGCTTGCTCATGCAGAATTCCCAGCAAAATACTATTAGTGCTGATACAGTTTTATTGACATAAGCATATCTATACTAGGAGCTTTTGCACTTAACATAGTCAGTAGCTGAGCTCTCAACACCTCTGGCTAATGCATACATTAGCAAAAATATTTAGGGTAGGTCTCTTAACTTTCACATGTGGTGTTTTAGAAGTGTTGAATTGGTATAATAATGTTTCACGATACCTATTCAAAACCTTTTCTTTCACTACTGTTAGATGTCAGTGCAAGGCTCCAAATGGGAATGGTTTCATGCATCACAGATGAGCTCTCATTTTTTTATTTTTCTAATGCAGACAATACTGCTCTAAAAATGTAGCAAATGGGCATTTCTCAGCTTCACTTAACTGCTGGAAAGTAGAAGTTCTTCCCTCTTTCATTCATTTCAAAGCCTCCTAGCAATTGACATGAGTGAAATTCACTCAATTTTCTGGCTGCTACATGCTGTTTTTAAATCCTTGTTCCCAGTAAATTGCTGTAGAGTCTGTGTCTGCTGTTGCTCAGGGCTTTCCCCAAGTAATTGAAGAAATTGCAAGAATTAGGTCAATTGCAATGCTGTCTGACAACTATGAACAGTTTGACAAAACTAACAATCAGTTTTTACTCTATCTTGGCAAAGGTAAAGCAAAAATGTTTGCCAAATGAAAAAATTAATAAATTGTGCTTTAATGCTTCTAATTCAGTATCTTCCTCTTTAATCTGTACTTGGTAATATTGCCCAGTCTCTTTTTCTACCTATTTGGTGACTCCTTTTTCATCCACTTAAATTACTTAAGTATTTATTCATTTCATTTTAGTGTACTCCATTTTTTTAACTTTTTGCAGATATGGAATTCGCCCTGAAAATGTGATTATATATGGCCAAAGTATAGGAACAGTCCCATCTGTGGATCTTGCTGCTCGATATGAAAGTGCTGCTGTAATTCTTCATTCTCCTTTGATGTCAGGAATGCGAGTAGCCTTTCCTGATACTAAGAAGACGTACTGCTTTGATGCATTCCCAAAGTAAGTTTATTATTATTCTTCAACATGTACAAAATGAGGAAGAAAGTCTAGTAATTCTTTGCAAATATCTTGTAAGGTAATGTAAAAAATCTAACGTGCTCCATTTACAAAAAATGAATCCAGATACGGTGAGTGTAGACATTTTGAATAAAATACTGAAGGTTTTCCAAAATTTAACAACAAAAAATTCACAGATGGTCCTTGTCGGTGTTTCAGGTTTGATTTGGGCATGATGGCTACAAATCTTTTTGAGCATATTACTCCAACTAGCCAGGACTAAGAAAACAGTTGATGACAACTCATTTTGTAATTTAATAGACTTGGTACTACCTGGAGGCTTATTTGGATATTCCAAACTTTATTAGTTGTTTAGAAAAATAAATTGCTTGCATTTTACTATTTAACTTCAAAGGAATTTAACACTAGGAAAAAATTTAGATTAAATTTTAAATTTTTAGATGAATTCTAAGGGTGCTTCGCTACTGGCATACATGCAGCGAGGCTGCTCCAGTGTGCTGTAATAGCGCACCAAAGCAGACTCGATTAATCGAGTCTGCTGGAGCATGGTAATTACTGTATTCCACCAGCCTGCAGCATCTCTTCTGTCAGGGTCCTCGGGCTTAAAAATGGTGGTGGGGGTGCTTTAATCTAAAGCTTATTCAAGCTTTAGATAAAGGTCCCCCACCACCATTTTTAGGCCTGGGGACCCTGATACACTGGATACTCCACGTGGTTATTTTAAAGCAGTTCTCAGAACCACTCTAATTTTAAAGTGCTCCCACTCGGAGCATGTGTATAAATACCCTAAAACTTTTAGATTTTAGTATTTCAGAGCTGACTGAAGACTTGACAATACTGTTTCCGTCAAGAGAAAACTCTGCAGTGTAAATTTTTTCATCAGAGCTGTGACTGATTCTGAGATGAAAATATTTCATTTGAAAAGGTGAAACATTCAGAAATGGCTTATGTTCTTTTCATGTACCAGAATAATTATCATGGTGTTTATAAATCTAGAACTCCAGTAAGTTCAGTATTTTTGTTTTTAAATCTAGAAGGGTAAAACTTACATGAATTAATCATGAAAATCAGTTTGCTTGTCTCAGAAATGTTTATCTATGTAAAATTGACTTCTCTGTTCATATATATTGAATCTTTCTTACAGCATTGACAAAATATCTAAAATAACATCCCCTGTGTTAATAATCCATGGGACTGAAGATGAAGTAATTGACTTTTCACATGGCCTAGCATTATTTGAGCGTTGCCAGAGACCTGTAGAACCACTGTGGGTAGAAGGAGCAGGTCACAATGATGTGGAGCTTTATGGACAATACCTTGAACGATTAAAACAGTTTGTATCACAAGAACTGGTCAATTTGTAAATTACTCTGTAAATTTACATGCTTTGTCATTTCACTGCAGAACTGCACACTTTGATAATTACATAACATGAAACCTGAAGGTTGTGTTTTCAAATCATGGGAGTTGCCTTCATTAAATGTACAGGTAATGATTTGTTAACATAACAAATGAAGGTTTTAATACCAGTATTATAAACTGGAATGCCTGATCATGCAGTCAAGCTTGTGTATTTCATATACTTTGTGTGAGGTTTCTTTTTAGGTGTACAAAAAAATCACAAGGAAGAGTACTGTATGAAATTTTAATTATATAAAATCAGATGCTGTAAAAGTGTTGCCAAATGCTTTAGCATATCAGAAGCAAATTTATAAATATTTTTAAACATCTCAAGATGTACTGTGACTTACTCTGTTGCACAGGTGTAAATTAAATCAAACTTCTAAACAGCTGTCCTGTAAAAATGCAAATAGCCATGACATTTGAGCAAATACTAGTGTATATAAAATGAAAATAGACAGTCACTGGAATTGACCCCAGGCCCTGTTATACAGGGAACAGGTCAAAATGGCTCGTTTGGTTTTGTTGTCAGTGCATTTATTTTTTTTCATGTCTTTGTGCTTTAACATTGTCGTCTTCTTTTTTTTTTTTTTTAAACCTGGAAGGTTCAGCTTTTCCCCACTCATCTATTCCTCAGCTATTCTAGCTATTCTGTAAAACAAAGTCACAAAACACCATTGATCAAAACAAAATCTCATTCACATGCTTGCTATTGAGGCCACTGAGTACTGGTTTCTTGAAATTACTAAGATACTTAGAGCTTAGAGAAATGTTGTGGACAACATAGTTTTAAATTGATCATGTAGAGATGGAGTATTTGGGTAGAAGAAACCCTGAAAATGTATCTAACTTTGAACAATATGCTTGCAGTTATCTGTTCAGGTTTACTTTTATGCGTTCAAGTGTACAACCAACATTTTGATTCACTATATGCAAGTTTTACTAATCTGTTCCTGAACAGTGGGGGAGGAAAAAAGAATGTTGACATTTTTCTATTAACTCATAGTAAAATAAATTTTGTAAGTTGCCTTTCCCTTAAATGAGTTTTGCTTGAATAAACTATGAAAGTTTAAAAACAAACTTAAAATTATATGTAGCCTAATTTGTAAACAAAGTAATATCCAACAATACACACTGTGCTTCTAATTTTAAGGCCTTATTGTAGTTTAATTGTTCTGCTTGTTTTTGTGATTTGTCTGACACTATTGTATAATTAAATGTACTACCAAGTATTGTGTGAAGGCTTTGGTTCGGATGTGTTAATTAACAGTAAACAATATTCCACACATTTGCTGTTCCTTATTTCTTTCTCAAAAGCATTAAGTGGCATCTGGCCACTTACTGTACTAGTTTCAGCCTTTTTGTTGAATAGTAATTCCCTGTGGTTGGGGCATTGCATGCTACCAGGCTTTTGTTTTGTTTCTACTGTACAGATTTTTTCCCCAAGTTTACCAGAATTTCTTCCTGTTGCTTTTGCAGCTATCCATGTGCAGATTATTTAGTCCCTGTTTATATTACAAACTTTGTTTTATTGAGCTAAATTTTTAACCCATAATTGAACCTTAGCTATGAGAACTTTTGTGTGTACCATTGAATATGCAAACCATATTATTGCCCTCCTGCTTTGTTCAATAGTCATCTCAGGTTTTTTTATTTGGTTTTTTTTTTTCTTTCGAAGTGTGGCATTCTTTCAATGAATCTACTCTCTTCCTCCAACCCCCCCTCCCCTCTTTTTCCCCCCAAAGATTATGCTTGACTTACACGCGCGCGCACACACGCGCGTGCACACAGAGTCAACCTTTAATAGGGTCAAGGACCATCCATGACTTTGACCTTTTGTACTTGCATATGTTTTTTGTGTAAGCAAAATAATACCAAGTAATTTTTAAGTGTCTAGTGCAATCAACCTCTTGGGAGTTTCCTTTGATTATTTTAGTTTTCTTGAATTGCTATTGCCTACAAAATCCTACAGGCTTTACCAGTGGCTGTGAATTTATGTTCTTGGGAGGATGGGAGAGGAAGAGCTGGTTTTCCTAAAATGGAACCTTGAAATTATGAGGTAGATTAATGATTGGAGCAATATAGTAAATTAGGTGTTAACTGTATTTTTTTAACTTCAAATCTCTGCTTCAGCTACTACATCCATGATGTGTACAATCTTGCATACAGTTCATGAAATATTGTGTTCTATTTTAAGAACACCATAGCCTGTTTACAATTTGAACTTTTTATTATTTGCTGCTTTGCACTGTGTGGGGTTGGGGAGGAGGATTATGCTTTGATTTAAGATAAGACTCCTTACCTTGATCCTTGGACAGGGAGGAGTGAGGGAGGGGGTATAAAATTATTGGATCTACTTGAACAGAATTTTGCAGGTACTGAGAAGCTTTTTTTTACAGACTCGGTATCAGATGTGCTAAGATTCTGGTTACAGCTTCTGTGCTTAAGTAGTTTGTGACCAGTTTGCTTAAACTTGGAAAGCACTGGGAGAACTGTCTTATTTTGGGGGAGGTGATCACTCCAACTCAGAATTGGCAGGGGTCAAAAATAGCTTAAAACCACATAGCCTCACTTCTCCTTGAACCGTTAATGTTACAGTATGTATTTGAGGCATAGCATAAAATCTTAACCCATAGTATGTTGCACTCAGTTGACACATCTGACGTGACAGTACTAGTCAGAATGTGCTACTTTCATATGGTTTATTATCTTCCGTTTTATTCTGATCTTTATTTTGTTACCTGAATTTTCATTTGAAAAAATGTTAACTGAATGAATTAAAATTTGTGCTTCTCAAAAATAAGCAATGGCTCAGTACTGGTATTCTGATACTAAATATTACAGTTGGCAGAAAAGAATACAGTCTGCTGTGCATTGTAGTTGAGGTTCTGCGCTTAAACCTGGGCAGTATTTTAGTGAAATTTACAGTGGGTCATTGTTTTGTGTTGTACAGATGCAATTAACTGTTTGAGGAGCAAGTGTTTACATAAGCTTGAATGAATAAGACACTGTTTGTATCTCAGAGCTGACAAAGCAGCAGAAAAAAAATTACTTTGTCTGAAATGTGATCTGTCTTTCTATAGCCAACTAAATATTTCAAAGTAATTTCTGTGACTTCTAGCAGAAGGCATAGCATGGTAGTACTTTTAGAAACTAATTTGTTCAGAAAGATGCAAGCTTTCATAGGCACTAGCCTACTTTGTCAGACACTTGCCTAAAAAAATGTATGCCTATTTGAACCAGTTAGTTTATAAGGTGCCACCCTGCCCTTCCTTCTCTGACTTCAAGCTAGCACAACTAACTACCTCTCTCTCCAGTACTGGGGCAAGGAAGCTTGGGGCCTGGGGCAAAGTCTGCAGCGGCAGCAATGTCTGTATGGCAGAATGCTCACAACCCTTCTGATGCAAAAATTGTACTTAACCAGCCATCTTTCATGGCTTATGTGCATGCTCACTAGGTCACTCTTTTTTTTTTATTTTTCATTTTTTTTTTTTAGCATTCTTCGTTGGCAGAAAACTTGTTTCCTGTATTGCCTTCAGCTCTCGTATTAAGGAATGAAGGGTGAAACTTCCCTCAGTTTGCCCTTTGTACAGGTCTGAATTTCTACTTCTGAAACTCCAGATTTGTTCTCTTACCACACCCAAGAGTTATGGTTGAAACCACATCTGTTCTAACAACCCATGCATGCCATTTGAACTAATAAAGGAGACTAGTGCCCTCAACAAATGAAAACAACAATCTTCAGCAACTTGAATGAATGCTACACCATTTCAGAGCAATAGGAAAGCAGAAATGAAAGCACCATGAAAAAAATGAAATAAGAAGTAACAACATCCTTGCTACTGCAGTCATTTGGGTTGGTCATAGCTTTAATATCAGAGCCAACTGCTGTGGCACCGACAGCACAGCCAACGTAAGAGAAGTACCTTAGCATCCTACTGTACAAACAGGACTGAAAGTGGTTAAGTCTAGTTTAGATTTATGTTGAAGCCCTAGGATAGGGGCGGGCAATTATTTTGGGTGGAGGGCCGCTTACCCAGTTTTGGCAGGCTGTCAAGGGTCACATGGGTAGCCCTGCCCCTTGACAGGTGCCCTGCCCCAGTCACCATCTTGGGTTCAATGTCCCAGGGCCAGCACTAGGGCCCAGGGTGGGGCAAGGCCAGCAGGTGTCTGTGAAGCTGGGCTGGGCTGCACCAGCAGGGACAGGTGGGGGGGGGAGCTGGCCCAGCTCCATAGGAACCCTGTGGTCCTGCCCCCCTGCTCTGGGCCCCACCGGCACTGCCCTCCCTGGACACTGGTGGCAGCCTTATGTCCCGCTGGCTCCCTGCCCGCTCATATGCAGTGCCCCCCAGCCCTGCAGTAAAGGTAAGGGGCAGTGCACGGTCCTGATCCCCTGCTCACGGGCAGGGAAGAAGCTGGTGCTGTGTGGTGAAAAATGGCCCCTCACCCACCTCACGGCTGGTGCCCTGTGCTGCAGGTGCTTGCAGCCCAGGTGGGGCTAGCTGGAGTAGGCACAGGCAGCCTCTTGCGGGCTGCAGTGTGGGGAAGTGGCCATGGGGCGGGTGAGGGGCCACTTTTCCCCACGCTCAGAACGAGCTTGCAACCTGCCCCACTGGCAGCCTGGCAGTGGGGCCAGGTTACAAGCTGGTACTGAGCAGGGGGGGAGAGGGGACCAGCCCCTCCCTGCTGTCTGCTGCAGCCACTCACGACCTGTCTGTACCTGCTCCGGCTCCGGCTCCGGCTCTGGATAGTCCCATGTGGGCTGCGAGCACCTGCAGTGTGGGGTGCTAGCCATGGGGCAGGTG